TACATATATTTAACTTTAATTTAAATTTATTACATGTAATTTTGCCTTTTTATTTAAATTAAATTATGATTAATTTTATTTTTAACTTCTTGCTTATATTTGGCTCTATTTAATTTTATTTTTTAATTAATTCTAATTATAACTAACTTTAGTTATAACTAACTTTAGTTATAATTAACTATCTGTATTAAATTTAGTTATAATTAACTAAAGTTAGTTATAATTAATTTTTAATTTTTATTTAATTCTTTAATTTTTGAAACAGTAAGTTTAATTTTGAAATTGAGTTTGAGTTACAATCTTTTAATTTTAATATTAGCTTTTTTCAAATACAATTGTAATTAATTTAATTTTTTTTAATTTTAGTTAAATTTTTTTTTATTCTGTCTATGTAATTAAATTTTATTCTTAACCTTAATTATTGTTGCGTATTTAATTTTAATTGGAACTAAATTACTAATTAAAGTTTTTTATATTTTATTTGAGAATTCATTTACCTTGCCATTGTTTTAGGATACATATAAATAAAAAACGAATTTTTCTTAAGTTAATTTTAATTGTGATCTTCAGCGAGACTTAATACAAACTAAATACAGTTTTAGAAAAAAAAAATATGTGTATGTACTTTAAATGTATACAAAATTAAATTGGATATATTGAAAAAAATAATTATGAAAAATCAAGTAATAAAATCGGACGTGTTTTTGCTTTTGTGGTTCACTGTTGTTTCGAGTGCTCGGCAGCCGCATTGCGAGGGGAGATTTCAATATCGGCGGTGGAATCGCTTTGTCTGTGCAGGGATTCATCATCGCTACGGGAGAGGGCGTGAATGTAACGGAAAGTAAATTAAGAAAACGAGATATAAATAATAAAAAAGAAAAATAAATAAAAAAAAATGTTTTTCAAAAAATAAAAAATAAATAATATTTTATTTTGTTTGATTTTTACCGGCAAAAGTATTCAAGCTAATAATTATGTAACTGTTAGTGTACGATTTGGAGGGAATGTAGAAAATGAGAATGCATGAAGAAACAACAATTTTATGAGCAGAAATTTCGCCTTCTAACTTCGCATCGTTAATGAAACTTCGAGTTGAATGACTGAGAATTTGGAATTTAGAAGAGCAAATGTGAATAGTTGAGTATGTACATTAGAATTTCAATATTTGATGATAAATTTACGTTGAGAGTGACACGAAAGCAGGCATTCAAAGCATTCAAAATCGTCAAAAATATTATATTAAAGGAAGGCATTATATGTAAGTAAGTATATACTCAATATAGAGAACGAAAATGAAAACGATTCGTAAATATGTATCATTGTATTAAATTCACTAAAGCGTTTCATGGAGAATAATCCAAAACACAAACTACAAATAACGGTGGTTTAACTACGGCAAAGGCATGGCCAGTTAAGGAAGTTGAAGACTTAAAGAGTAAGCTAAAGAGAAAAGATAAACTGTATGCTAACAAATTCTCAGACTCTAAATCGCATAGTTATCAATCAAAAATTGTATTTAGTAGTTTTTAAAGCGATTTTTTTTTCTTTAAATTTATATTTATAAAAATTATTTTTAATTTTCAACATTTCACTGCGTCTAAAAAATTGTTTTTATTGAGAACAGAAGTTTGTGTTTTTGTATTTATTTTTTCATTTTGTTGTTGTTTATCATGCAACTTACCCATACAGTCTACTATCTCGGAATGTCCTTCTGTGTGTTAACGTACGTTATTTTATTTTAATTTTTTTTTTGTTGTAAACGATAATTAATTAATTTTTGGTTTGCTTGGTTAACGTTTGTTTAATTAAATTAAAAAAAAAAATAATAATAGAAATCTCAAATTCTATTTCTCAATGGCAACATGACAAGCAAATGCGTTATAAAATTAATAAAACTTTATTTAAGAAAATTTAAGCTAAGTAAAACAAACGGAAGGGTTATAAAATTGTATATAAAATTATATAATTATATGAATTCCTAAATTAAGATTAATTTAAAAATCGTGCAAATGTTGGCTAAATGAAATCATATCAAAAAAACCGAAGATGTCATCGCGTATATGACTTGGTCGACAAGTGTAATAATTTGTTTTTGTAAAAAGGCATATTATATATATTCAAAATTGAAAATCCCTTGAGGATGCAACCTTGCAAATTTTAGAGACCTCTCATTAGACAAATGCCGTCTCCTTGTCGTGCTCTTTACAGGGCACTGCAGTCTCAGATAGCATTTGTCCAACACGGGTATAGTCTGTTGTGAAAACTGCCCGTTTTGCGACAAGGTACATGAAACTCCAGAACTCCTGATTCAAGATTGTCCAGCAATTTATAGAAGCGGGCTCATGGCTCTAGGTTCAACTACGTGGCCAGGGATCACATCAGCTCAGTCGCAAGAAGTAAGCTCCTTAAATTGTTCACAGTGCTGGACCTTTTTCACCAAATGTGATTTAGTAGAGGGCACAATATGTATATTTTAGGACGCAGTGCAAAGCCTCAATTATTTTCCATCTCTCTAGTTCTTACTGCTCATAAAAACTTTTATGTTTTGGTACTACAAAACTGTCTACTCTGCAAGACCTTTTGATTAATTTTCTAAATAATCTCAAAGAATTTTTTTTTATCTAATCTGTGTTTGAAAATCTATGGTAAAATGTTTTCCGGTTAACCAGCACTCTCCGGAATCCGTTAAAATTTTACCTGCTGTTACTGTTTCAGCGTGCAACAAAGGTATCATCCAGTTGGATGGCGCTCATCTCCGTGAACTGTGTCAGATAAAGTCACATTACGACAGCTTGGAGGCTGAGTAGAGTGGCATTCATCTCGAAAGCCAGTAAAACTTCTCATGTCACTGCCAAGAACAATAGCCGCCTCAATTTCACCTCATTTCAATTAAAAGCGCTAGAGAGACTCATGGACCTCTACATTAGGGGTTGAAGCCAAGTAGAAGTTCTATTTACTAGAAGGTTCAAATCATTGATGCTACTCACCCCTCGTGGGAATCTATATACCAGTGAACCGGGTGAGCTAATAAGGGCTTATTCTTAACAGAAAATTCTCATGGAAACCAAGCAACGAGGAGAGTGTGAAAAGGCATCACTCGCCTTAAACTGTTGTAGACGAAAAATTGGGAGGAGTGGGAGCCTCTCACAAAAAGTGGTGTACTGGCTCTATGAAATCGTAGTTTTGCAATTATATTTATGGGAACGTGGTCTGGTGCAGAGCGCTCGGAAAAATCACAGTAGCGAAGCAGCTGGACCGCGTTCAAAGTGCGGACAACTCCAACAATGACACTCAATTCCACAATACACATGTAGCCACAGCTGGTAGGTGCTTGGCACCTGCCTGTTTGTTTCATGAAATAATAAGTTGTAAGGTTACACGGTTCTCAGTACGCGTCTACAACTTGTTGTTAGTTTTTGGTCTACTGATACTTCAGGCATCATTAAATACTATTAGACTTATGGATTATGCCTGATTATTGTGCAATTTTTATTAATCTGTCTACTTTGAGTGGAATTAAGCTTGATTTCTTATAGAATGATGTGCGGCTATACTGTAATACTTTTCAGTGCCCTCAATATGTGAAATATCAGTGATATATTTTGACTCAATTGGATCTTACCAGAAAAATGGAGATTCCCCTCTATATCCCTACAAAAAAATCGTCAACCAAAAAATATTAAATCTTCTTATGCGCTTTTTACGTTAACAAATTATTTACACTCAAATAATTCATATTTGACAAGTAAAGTTTAGGAACAACATTTTCAAATTGACTTAATGAAATGAGAACCTCTTACACTTCTATATTTCTTTTAGTAAGTAACTCTTAAGCACTGTCAAGAAATAAGTATCTGTGATATGGAGTTAGTATTATTGCAATTATAATTGGCAATTTGACTGATTGGATGAGAATTAGTGTATGTCTTTTTTTAGCAATTTTCAATTAATTTCTCGTAATTATAAAAAATTTACCTCAAATATAAATATTTATATGTAAGTAAAGATTTTATGTATGGTTTTTTATACCTTCCATTTCCGTGGCGGAACAGTGCGCATATCTCCTCGAATGTCTTATTCTTAGTCTCAGGAACCTTCTTGTAGGTGAATATCCAAAATATAGCTAAGAAGACGCTAAACGGTAAGAATGTGTAATTCTCCAATTCAGCCTGTGGGTGGGGGAATAAAAAATTTTGATTTAGAAAATTATGATTTTTGGAATAAAATTGTAATAATAATAAATTTTT